CCTGTTTTAGTCCTGGTTTAGTCCTGGTTTAGTCCTGGTTTAGTCCTGGTTTTAGTCCTGGTTTAGTCCTGTTTTAGTCCTGGTTTAGTCCTGTTTTAGTCCTGGTTTAGTCCTGGTTTAGTCCTGGTTTAGTCCTGGTTTAGTCCTGGTTTAGTCCTGTTTAGTCCTGTTTTAGACCTGTTTTAGTCCTGGTTTAGTCCTGTTTTAGTCCTGTTTAGTCCTGTTTTAGTCCTGTTTTAGTCCTGGTTTAGTCTGTTTAAAACTCTTGATCTTTCTCTCTCGACTCGTTCAGAATGTTTTTTTTCGTTCATGTGCCGCTTCACTAATCCAATAAAACAATAAAACGCTTAACGACGAGCGCCGGCGTCACAGGGAAAGACGCCGCGGCTGCAGCGGATTCTGACGGCGAGTGGGAGGAGACGACGAGACACGAAGCTGCTGTTTGTTTGTTTGTTTGTTTGTTTGTTTGTTTGTTTGTGAAGGAGTGAAAGTGAAAGTGTGAACGTCTGAAGGTGGAGGATTAAGAAAAGAGAAAAGAGTTGAGGTATTAAAGAGTCACAGGACTAAACCAGGACTAAACCAGGACTGAAACCAGGACTAAACATGGACTAAACTAGGACTAAACCAGGACTGAACTAAGACTAAACCAAGAATAAAACAGGACTAAACCAGGATTGAACCAGGACTAAAACAGGACTAAAATAAGACTAAACTAGGACTAAAACAGGTCTAAACTAGGACTGAACCAGGGTTGAACTCAGACTGAACCGGGACTAAAACAGGGACTAAAACAGGATTAAAATAAGACTAAAACAGGACTAAAACAGGACTAAACCAGGACTAAACAGGACTAACAGGAAAACCAGGACTAAACCAGGACTAAACCAGGACTAAACAGGACTAAACCAGGACTAAACCAGGACCAGGACTAAACCAGGACTAAACCAGGACTACCAGGAAACCAGGACTAAACCAGGACTAAAACAGGACTAAACCAGGACTAAACCAGGACTAAGGACTAAACCAGGACTAAACCAGACTAAACCAGGACTAAACCAGGACTAAAAGGACTAAACCAGGACTAAACCAGGACTAAACCAGGACTAAACCAGGACTAAACCAGGACTAAACAGGACTAAACCAGGACTAAACCAGGACTAAACCAGGACTAAACCAGGACTAAACCAGGACTAAAACAGACTAAACTAAACAGACTAAACCAGGACTAAACAGGACTAAAACACAGACTGACTAAACCAGGACTAAAACAGGACTAAACCAGGACTAAACCAGGACTAAACATAAACATGGGACTAAAACAGGACTAAAAGGACTAAACAGGACTAAAACAGGACTAAACCAGGACTAAACCAGGACTAAAAAACAGGACTAAACAGGACTAAAACAGGACTAAAAAACAGGACTAAACAGGACTGAACCAGGACTGAACCAGGACTAAACAGGACTAAACAGGACTAAACTAGGACTAAACCAGGACTAAACAGGACTAAAACCAGGACTAAACCAGGACTAAACCAGGACTAAACAGGACTAAAACAGGACTAAACCAGGACTAAACCAGGACTAAAACCAGGACTAAACCAGGACTAAACCAGGACTAAACCAGGACTAAACCAGGACTAAAACTAGGACTAAACCCAGGACTAAACCAGGACTAAACCAGGACAAACCAGGACTAAACCAGGACTAAAACAGGACTAAAACAGGTCTAAACCAGGACTAAACAGGACTAAAACCAAGACTAAACCAGACTAAACCAGGACTAAAAGGACAGGACTCACCAGGACTAAAACAGGACTAAACAGGACTAAACAGGACTAAAAACAGGACTAAAACCAGGACTAAAACAGGACTAAAACAGGACTAAACCAGGACTAAACCAGGACTAAACCAGGACTAAACAGGACTAAACAGGACTAAAACAGGAACCAGGACTCTAAAACAGGACTGAACAGGACTGAAACCAGGACTGAACCAGGACTGAAACAGGACTAAACAGGACTAAACATAAGGACTAAAACAGGACTAAACCAGGATCCAGGACTAAACAGGACTAAACCAGGATAAACCAGCTAAACTAAACTAGGAACAGGACTAAACCGGTCTAAAAAAACAGGACTAAACCAGAGACTAAACAGGACTAAAACTAGGACTAAACAGGACTAAAACTAGGACTAAAACAGGACTAAACTAGGACTAAAACAGGACTAAAACCAGGATTGAACCAGGACTAAGACAGGACTAAACTAGGACTAAACCAGGACTGAATCATGTCTAAACAAGGACTAAACCAAAGTTGAACCAGGTCTAAACCAGGTCTAAAGCAGGACTAAAAACTAACCAGGACTAAACCAGGAGACTAAACCAGGACTAACCAAGGACTAAACTAGGATTAAACTAGGTCTAAACCAGGACTAGACCAGACTGAAAACAGAACTGAACCAGACTAAACCAGGACTAAACTAGGACTAAACCAGGAAAAACGAGGACTAAACCAGGTCTAAACCAGGACTAAACCAGGACTAAACCAGAACTAAACTAGGACTAAACCAGGACTGAATCATGGCTAAACAAGGACTAAACCAGAGTTGAACCAGGACTAAACCAGGTCTAAACCAAGACTAAACTAGGACTAAAACAGGTCTAAACCAGGACTAGACCAGAACTGAACCAGAACTGAACCAGGACTAAACCAGGACTAAACTAGGAATAAACCAGGAATAAACGAGGACTAAACCAGGTCTAAACCAGGAGTAAACCAGGACTAAACTAGGACTAAACCAGGACTGAATCATGTCTAAACAAGACTAAACTAGGACTAAAACAGGTCTAAACCAGGACTAGACCAGAACTGAACCAGGACTAAACCAGATCTAAAACAGGACTAAACCAGGAATAATTTTAGACATGACAGTCACCCAACATTCTGGTTTAGTCCTGGCTTAGACCTGGTTTAAACCTGGTTTAGTCCTGGTTCAGTTCTGCAGATTTCATGAGCCTGTGCAGTTTGTTTTCATTCCCAATCGCTCCGGTTTGACATTTGAGTTGTAGATTTTTTATATTTGTTATTTTTTTCATATCTCACGTCGGGAGGAAGAGTCTGGACGGTGAACTCCCACGTACCACGTCCACTACACCCTGCACAGACCCACAGATCTTACATTTATGTCCACGTTTTACCCGCCGTGACATGAGACTTCACCACAACCCCTAAACTAGGACTAAACCAGGACTAAACCAGGACTAAACCAGGACTAAACTACAAACCAGGACTACTAACCAGGACTAAACCGTAAACCAGGTCTAAACCAGGACTAAACCAGGTTAAACCAGGACTAAACTAGGACTAAACCAGGAATAAACCAGGACTAAACTAAACAGGACTAAACCAGGACTAAACCAGGAATAAAGAAGGACTAAACCAGGACTAAACTACACTACACCCCTGCACAGACCCACAGATCTTACATTTATGTCCACGTTTTACCCGCCGTGACATGAGACTTCACCACAACCCCTAAACTAGGTCTAAACCAGGACTAAACCAGGTCTAAAAACCAGGACTAAACCAGGACTAAACCAGGACTAAACCAGGAATAAAGGGACTAAACCAGGACTAAACTAAACCAGGACTAAACCAGGACTAAACCAGGACTAAACCAGGACTAAACCAAACTAAACCAGGAATAAACCAGGACTAACCAGGACTAACCAGGACTAAACCAGGACTAAACAGGATAAACCAGGTCTAAACCAGGACTAAACTAGGACTAAACCAGGAATAACCAGGACTAACCAGGACTAAACCAGGTCTAAACCAGGACTAAACTAGGACTAAAACCAGGAATAAACGAGGACTAAACCAGGAACCAGGAAACCAGGATAAACCAGGACTAAACCAGGACTAAACCAGGTCTAAACCAGGACTAAACCAGGAATAAACGAGGACTAAACCAGGTCTAAACTAGGACTAAACCAGGAATAAACGAGGACTAAACCAGGTCTAAACCAGGACTAAACTAGGACTAAACCAGGAATAAACGAGGACTAAACCAGGACTAAACCAGGAATAAACGAGGACTAAACCAGGTCTAAACCAGGTCTAAACTAGGACTAAACCAGGAATAAACCAGGAGGACTACACCAGAATTGAACCAGGGCTGAACCAGGACTAAACCAGGTCTAACCAAGGACTAAACTAGGATTAAACTAGGTCTAAACCAGGACTAAACCAGGACTAAACCAGGACTAAACCAGGACTAAACTAAACCAGGACTAAACCAGGAATAAACCAGGACTAAACCAGGTCTAAACCAGGTCTAAACCAGGACTAAACCAGGACTAAACTAGGTAAACTAGGACTAAACCAGGAATAAACCAGGGACTAAACCAGGTCTAAACCAGGACTAAACCAGGACTAAACTAAACCAGGACTAAACTAAACCAGGACTAAACCAGGACTAAACCAGGGACTATAAACGAGGACTAAACCAGGTCTAAACCAGGTAAACCAGGACTAAACCAGGAATAAACCAGAGGACTAAAACCAGGTAACCAGGACTAAACCAGGACTAAACTAGGACTAAACCAGGAATAAACCAGGACTAAACCAGGACTAAACCAGGAATAAACGAGGACTAAACCAGGTCTAAAGCAGGACTAAACCAGGATTAAACCAGGAGGACTACACCAGAATTGAACCAGGGCTGAACCAGGACTAAACCAGGTCTAACCAAGGACTAAACTAGGATTAAACTAGGTCTAAACCAGGACTAGACCAGAACTGAACCAGAACTGAACCAGGACTAAACCAGGACTAAACTAGGACTAAACCAGGAATAAACGAGGACTAAACCAGGTCTAAACCAGGACTAAACCAGGACTAAACTACACTACACCCCTGCACAGACCCACAGATCTTACATTTATGTCCACGTTTTACCCGCCGTCTAACGTCCTCGTGTTTTTGTCGTCCACAGCGTTCCTTCTGCAGCGCCATGATGGACGAGCTGCGCGTGTCCCTCAAGTGTCAGCGGCGTCTCAAACAGAAGCCCCAGCCCCCGGTCATCGTCAAAACCGAAGAGGTCATCAACATGCACACCTTCAATGACCGCAGACTGCCCGGCAAGGAGACCATGGCCTAGCGGACGCCCCCCCACCCCGTCCCCCCCCCTTCCGTCGGCGAACACCGTCACGCCCACGGTCCACGCGGGGCCGGAGACACCCTCGAGCTCTGGGGTCAGCCGGACTCCCCCCGAGTGAACCCCCCCCCCGCCGCCAGATGTTTCCTGTGGAAATATGAAATCTTCTCGACAGCGTCACCTCAATGTGACTCTCGGAAAAGGACCAAGAACGAGCTCGGAAGCGTAAACGCAAATGGATTTAAGCGCGATACGTGTTAGACTCTACAAACCTGGGACGGGAACAGAACCGGCAGCTCGACGTAAGAACTGCGTTTGTCGGGACCAAAAAGAGCGACGTCATCTCGCGCTTCGGGTTCTTCTTCGCGAAGGACGTCGTTTAAGTTTTGATTTGCCGCGACGAGGCGAGGGCCAGACGAAACGAGCGAGCGGGAGTTGCGTTCGGTCGTTCCCTCCGTCGACGTCGGCTTCGAACTAACGCTCAGACGCCGCTCATCTTACGTCCGTAGGGTGCGGTCTTTAGCTTGATCATCCTAGAGCTCAGACTAGAGCCGCCGCTCCACCACGCCGGGCGGTTAGAAGCTGAATCGGCGGCTGTTTTTTTGGGGGGACTTCTTGAACCACTTTAGTGTCCGGGCGGCGGGAAGTCTAGATAAGATTTAGGGACACGCGGTCATACATGCAGTCAGATGTTACGTTGATGTCAAGAGCTTTCCGTCTGATATATAAATGTGCCAAACAAGCAATTTTACGGATTCATCATTTTGTCTAAACTACTGGGACAGTGCCAGGAGGTTGTGAGAAAAAAATAAATTTGTTTTATTAAAGGGGCACTGTGTAACTTTTCAGGTTGGGGTTCTGCCGCCGTGGAGATGCTGTTTCTTGGCCTGTTATTTTCCACAATATGGTACCGAAGAAAGGGTATCGCACCAGCCAAAAAATGTGTAATGAAGAAGAAAAAAAACATATATAAGTCGCACTTTTGGGGGAAATTTATTTTATAAAATCAGAGACCAGGAACCGACATTTCATCTTAAAAGTCAAGTTGTAGTAAAAACAGTAGAAGAGAGAACAACAGACTGTTAACGTCACATATGAACAGTTCTTCAGATAAACTATAACATAAACAACAGAACAAGTTTAACAAACTCTCCATCTCACTCCAAATCACTAAATCCACTCAATTCTTCATCCTCGGTGTCACTTCTGAGCAACTCGGCCTCGACCTCCGGAGGTAAACAGAGCGACGCAAACTCTTCTGTGTCGCTGTCGTCAGACTCAGCGTCAGTTCCAGTTAGAACAAGCACGATCAGAGATAGTGACCTGGTCCCCCATAATCTGTGTGTCATTCGTTCATTCGTTTTTCAATATAAAAAGAAAGAAAATTAAAAATCAACTGTTTTCTTCATTATTTGTCTCCAAAACCAAAATGATAAAACAGATAATGATTCGTTTTTTCAGTTTTCGATTTTGTGTTTAAATGAAAAATGGAAAAAAGGGATAACGCCCGTTTCCCATTTACGTGACGTCTGTGACTGCGATGTCGGACTTTTGCGCCGAATATGGACCGAACCAGGTCTGATCCAGGTCCAGGACCAGAGTGGGACTGCCACCAAGACCAGACCGGGACCAGAGAGGGACCAGAGCGGACTGAGAGCCTCTGCGGGGTCCAAGCCTCAGCTTCGAGCTCCAGCCCTGACGTGGGCTCTGAGCCTCCGGTCTGGTCCCGGTCTCAGTCTCGGTCAGTCTCGGACTGGTCCCGGTCTGGTCTCGGTCTGGTCCGGGTCTGGTCTTGGTCCCGCTCTGGTCCTGGTCTGGTCTCAGTCTCAGTCTGGTCTCAGTCTGGTCCCGGCCTGTTCTCGGTCTCAGTCCCGGTCTCAGTCTCAATCAGTCTCGGTCTGGTCCCAGTCTGGTCCCAGTCTGGTCTCGGTCTGGTCCGGGTCTGGTCTTGGTCCCGTTCTGGTCCTGGTCTGGTCTCAGTCTGGTCTCAGTCTGGTCCCGGCCTGTTCTCAGTCTCAGTCCCGGTCTCAGTCTCGGTCTGGTCCCAGTCTGGTCCCGGTCTGGTCTCGGTCTGGTCCGGGTCTGGTCTTGGTCCCGCTCTGGTCCTGGTCTGGTCTCAGTCTCAGTCTGGTCTCAGTCTGGTCCCGGCCTGTTCTCGGTCTCGGTCTCAGTCCCGGTCTCAGTCTCGGTCAGTCTCGGTCTGGTCCCAGTCTGGTCCTGGTCCCACTCTGGTCCTGGTCTGGTCTCAGTCTCAGTCTGGTCTCGGTCTGGTCCTGGGCTGGTCTCAGTCTCGGTCAGTCTCGGTCTGGTCCCAGTCTGGTCCCGGTCTGGTCTCGGTCTGGTCCGGGTCTGGTCTTGGTCTCGGTCTGGTCCTGGGCTGGTCTCATTCCCGGTCTCAGTCCTGGTCTGGTCCCGCTGTCCCGAATCATTATCTGTTTTTTCATTTTGGTTTTGGAGACAAATAATGAAGAAAAAAAAAACTGTTGATTTTTCATTTTCAGTTTTATATTGAAAAATGAACGAATGAATGATGCACGGATTCTCCATGAGCCGTCGGTGGGGCTTGTGTGACGATTGGGTGAATATTTTCGCCTGCAGATGGTTCAGAAATTGCCGAAGTTGCCGATCCTTTATAACAGCGTGACCTTTCAACTGACCCGTGTGACCTCAAATGAAATCAGTTCATCACCAACCTTTTTTTTTGCGGCATCGGAAACGAGGGCTTGACCCACGTACCAAATTTGGTGACAATCGGGCTATAAATGGTGGAATTATCGCAGGTGGACAGACACACAGGGTGAATACAAAACCTGTTCAACCCTTCAGGGACCAGGTCATTATTCGGGTCTTTCTGAATCCCGACAGGATGGTTTCGGTGTCACTGAAGTCCAGGCTTTGTCCGTCCATCCAGCGACTTCAGGAAAGTTTCATGGTTCATCCTCCCGGTGTCACGAGTTTCTCTCTCACTCCAAACTTTCTTTCCGCTGCTCGATTTCCGTTTTCAGCTGCAGATTTTCACGACTTGCAGTTTGTAATCTGCAAAATCTGATTTAGTTTTTTGGAGGCATTTGTGTTCAGTCTTCTCAGTGTCTTTATAAGTTTGTTTAAATGTTAAATTGTTCAGTGGTGCAGAAGTAACGGTGCGATCGACTGACATGATACAGACAGGACAGAGGCTCTTTCTGCAGGAGACATGCGCAGTAGAGCCAAGTGACAGTGGTACAGGAGGAACAGGAGCAGCAGATCCTCACACACAAGACTAGAACCTCTCCACACTTCACCAAAAACATTTTAATATAGAAGTCGCACCGGAAACACCCAAACCATGAAAAAAAGTGCGACTTAGACTGTGTTCAGACTGCAGCCTGAAGTGACCCAAATCTGATTTTTTTGGCTTCTATGTTCCTGTATCTGATCTTTTAATGACAGTCTGAACGACACAGATCAGATTTTTTCAAATGTGACCCAGGACACTTGGATATGTGCTCCTGAAACTGATACATATCTGATCTTTTGACATGTGACTTCAGTCTGAACGGTCAAAGTGCATTCATCCACCTACACGTTATCAACAAGACACAAACGTCACTATTCTGCGCTGAAGTAGGTGAAAATTGTTAACAAACTCCGTGTCACTGAAGCGAAGCACATCACCACTCACCACTCTTGGCTCCGTCTCCACATCCACATGTTCCTTTCAACGGACTGAACCACAAAACACCACGACCAAAAACCTCGTCCTTCTCCTTCTCAATCTCCTCCTTAAAACAAGTAAGTTGTTCATGTTCTGGCTCCGGTACGAGAGGAACTTTAAAATCTCCAGGTGCTCGATGCTGCGTCCATGTTTGGACAACTTCTGTAAACACAGAGACGCTCGCTGCGGTTGACGTCGTCGTGTCTCCAGTGTCACATGCGGGACACTTTTGGGCCGTTTAATGTTCACACTGGAGTCACATACAAGTCACATTTAATTGGAAATGTGAACGACGTCGCAAAAACATCGGATTTCACCAAAAACATCAGAATTGAGCGTTAAGCCCTGCAGTCTGAACGTAGCCTTAGTCTCCTCCCCCTTTACTCTTTGCCCATCACAACACAGTCAGGTTTATCAAGTTGCTGCGTACAGTTTTATATCACGTTTTTTTTTATATTTTTGGACAAAAAAAACACAAAAACTTACAGTAGATGGTTCGACCAAGGCTCAGGAGAGATCGCAAAACTACATAAACATGCGTGGACGACAAAAAATCTTTTAAAGGTTGTATGGAGGATTTTTTTTTTAGTTTCAAATTGTCAGTGAAAGATTAAAACACCGTTACAGAGACGCAGCAGCTTTGTAATTATGATGACCAAAAAAAAAAGAACGAAAATCTATCAACTGTGGACGTGTTGAGGCCAGATAAACATCAGCCAATAGAAAACGAGGCTCCCTCATTTTCTATTGGCTGTTAGGTCGTCAATCAAACTCCCTAGTGTAACTGACTCGCATTTCGCACAAAGTTTGTCGCGACGGCGGACGAGAATCTACGACCGGTTCGCCGCAAAAGAAAGTCCGTTTTTGCGGTCGCTGAAAGAAGAAGAGAAGAGGAAAAGGAGCAAAGAGCAAAACCAAACTGAGGTGATTCTTGGAGATCTCGTCCAGCGATGGCGCGACCGAAGCAGACGAAGCGTCTAAAAACTGACACGTCGCTTAATTACTTCTAGACAGGAAACTTCAACAGTAATTCTGAATGCGCACAAGGACTGTCGCGGTATTTCTCTTCCCTTAAAAAAATCCTCTATACAACCTTTAATTCTGCATCATGTCCTTTCTTCGGGGCCATACTGTGGAACATTCCAGGCCAAGCAGCAGCGTCTCCATGGCGATAAAATGTTACACGGTGCACTTTTAAATTCATAATCGCTCACGGTTTTCAGTAACGCCGTCTCGTGCCGACGCTTCTCCGAGCCTAACCACGTCACACAGATACTGGGTTGTTTAAAATGCAGACTTTCTAACAGTT